TATAGTATTTTCCACATTCTTGGCTAGTGAAGGGAATAGAAGTGTCATTTGTGTTGTAGGGAAGTGGGGTGCTCTCGCATAAAAGGTTATATTGCTTCTCAAGTTTGTTGTGCTTTTCAACTAAGACACAATACTTGTCATTGAGTGCAATATTTGCCTTCTTTGTGAGAGCATGTTCTCTTTGTTCGGCCAAGGCCTTGTTCAAAGAGTCCACCTCACTTCTTTCTAACTGAAGAGCTTCCTTGCAGCCAATATACATCTTTTCGGTTTCCTCAAGATATTCATCTCTATTGGCTAGCTCAGCTTTGACACTTTCTAATTCCTCCATAAGATTTATGATGAAAAGCTTGGTCTTAGAATCTAACTTTTTAGTCAATTTAGCATATTTCTCAACATCACTAGTATCATCATCACTAGAATCACTAAGTTCACTACTAGAGATGTCACTAGGAGGTGGAGGAGATTTGGCTCTTCGTTTTACCTTCTCACCCTTTGCCATAAGACAAACGTGAGTGGAGCGGTCGTCATCATCATCAGACATGTTGAAGAGCCTTGGTGTAGAGGATGGCTTTTGAATGGCCAAAGTTGCAACCTTCACATCCTCTTCACTTGACTCCTTAGTTGAGTCCCACTCATGCCCAATGTGTGTCTCTCCCATTTGCTTGTATCTCTTTTTGTGTTCATGCTTGCCTTCATTGTTGTCCCTCTTGTATTTGTTTTCTTTCTTGTCATAGGGACACTTGGCAATGAAGTGCTCCGTCTTTGCCACAATTGTAGCAAGTCCTCTTCTTCTTATTTGGGAACCTTCTTTGCACTATTTTATACCCATTCTTTTTCAGCCCCTTGTGATAGCTCTTCATGAACAAAGCCATGTCATCAATCTTCATGTAATCAGCCCCATCATCTTCATCTTCACTTGAGGATGAACTTGGATCATCATTTTGTGGAGTTGACTTGATTTCCTTGGGTTGACTTGTTGATGCTTGCTTGCTGCCCTTTGCCTTGTTGGAGGTGCCTTGATTGCTTGATTTATTGGCCTTGAGAGTTACTTCCTTGATTTTCATGCCTTTTAGCTTGGCTTGCAATTCACCAAGTCATCTCCTCTCATTGGCTTCTTCTCTTTGCATGTCAAATGTCAACAATCTTCCAAGCACATCATTAGGTGTGAAGTGCTCAAACTTCTTATCTCTAATCAAGGTAACTACGGTCTCATTTCTTGGTGAGTAGGCTTTCAACATAACCTTCACCACTTTGTGATCATCAAGCTCATCACATCCATAGCCTCTAATCTTGCCCACCAAGGTCATCAATCTATCAAACATCTCTTGAGGCCCCTCTCCATCAACAATCACGAACCTATTGAGCTTAGCCATCAACAAATCAATCTTTGCTTTCCTCACTTTATCAACACCTTCATGTGCTAGATGCAAAGTGTCCTAAATCTATTTTGCAACATTGACATTCATCACTCGGTTGTACTCATTTCCATCCAAGACACTAAGAAGAATACTTGTGGCTTGACCATTGAGATGGACAACAACTAGCTCTTCATTTGTTGGCGCTTCGGGATCTTCCGGTGGCTGCAATCCATTCACCACAATCTCCCAAAGACCGGGTGAAGACCTACAAGATATGCACTCATCAAGTGCTTCCACTTGGTAAAGTTTGTCCCATCAAAATGAGGTAACTTGTCCGCGGGTACATTGACAAAGGACCTTTTGTTATGGTTAGACAAATAAGAATAATTAAAGGATACGGCGACATATTTGTTCTTGTTGTTGTTGCTTCCCTTGTCCTTGCTATCCTTCTTTTTGTCCTTGCTCTTCACCTCCATGCCATCTTTTGAAGCATGGTATGACACATCATCATCTCCATCGTCCGAGCTACTAGAGAGCTCACTAGACGATGCATCATACTCATTCTTCTCTTGCTCTTGAGCTCTTGCTGCCCTTCTCTTAGCTCTTGCCTCTCTTGTGATTCTTCTAGCTTCTTTTCTCTTCTTCTTGTCTTTGAGCCGCTGCTCTTCCTTCTTCTTTTCTCTAGCTTCTCTTGTTGCAATCTTTGCGGCTTTTCTTTCTTTTCTTGCCTTTCTTCTTTCGGCATCGGTGGTATTTGGTTCTTTGATGGTGGCATCACTTGCTGTGGACATGGACAGCTCGCTGCTGCTGCCGACATCCTCAACATGCACACCACTTGCGTCCGCAACGTGAACGTTCTTCGAACCTTCTCCTTCTTCCATACTTCACGCGGTGAAGCGTATACGAAGCAATCTTGCTCTGATACCACTTGTAGGATCTACAGGAAGATAAAGGAGGCCTAGAGGGGGGTGAATAGGCCTGTAAAAATTCAACTCAAAACTCTGTTAGAACAGAGGGCGACACTACCGGCCTTACAGGGCGGCACTGCCGCTCTACGAAAAATAATCTAACACAGTTGAGATTTAACAGATATGAACCTTACCCCACTAGCTGCTTAATCCTGCAATATAAAGTCAAGATCCAGTTCGAAGACTGGATACCACAGAAACTTCACACAACAGTGAATCGAGCAACTAAACCCTAACCACAGCTAGCAGTAAGGTAAACAACAAGTATAGTAAAGATGAAGCACGCGAGACACCTGATTTATCCCGTGGTTCAGCTCACCACTAAGGTTTTGCATAAATCCACGTTGTTGAGGAAGCCACAAAAGGTTTGAGCTTGCCACAAAGGTTTGCCTTACCCTCGTTCTCAAATCAAGAGAGTGAACTCTTGAAGTGAGGGTGATTTCTTAGCTTTTGAATAAGGTTACAAACCTCCCAAGGCAGCCACACAAGTTGGCAAGCACAAGGGCGACGCCTAGCTGGCTAGGAGCAAGCTCCAAGAGTAACAAACCCTAGAACCGCTGACCAAACGTGAACCAAATGCTCTTAGACTTTGGGAATCAGTGGATCTTCTCTCCAATCGAGTTTTGCTGCCTTTTCTCTCAAGTTTTGATGGTTGGAATCAAGGATTAGCTTGAGGGATGGAGGAGCAACAATGGAGGAGAGAGGTGAGCTTTGGTTCTGTCTTGTTTCGAGCAGAATGACTCGGTGGAGAAGATGACCGTTGTGGGCCGGGCCTAAAGGGTATAAATACCCCCCGAGCCCAACGGTCAGTTAAGGGCAGCACTGCCGCTCTTAACAGGACGGCACTGTCGCCCTAGCCAAAAAAGGTAAGATGATATGAAATTTGGCTGGCTGTTTTGACTAGGTGAGAGGATGTAGATCTGTGAATTTGAGCATCTGGTTCAACAGTTGACCAACTGTCCTAAAATCCCTCTTAATAGTACGACTTTCCCTAAACTCAATTTCAAAACATAAAAGAATTTAAACCCTCTTTGAGCTAGGTCCAGCCACCTTTTGTAATTAGGACACCTGCCACTTGTTCATCATCCTCATTCTTCGATTCCCTGCTTGTCATCTCGATAAATCTCATTAGCCCTCTAATTTGGTGGTCATCAATACCAAAACCCACAATAGGGCTTGATTGCACTTACATGTGCCTTCCGAGCACGTTGACAACGCAACTACTTCTATTTCTGCACTATGCTTTCCTGAGCCAGATCCGTTGGCATTGGCGCTGTGCGCGAGAGCAGGGCCTCCTGCATGGGTCATCTCTTTCGATCTGATGCTGGAGGAGCTCGCCGCCTCGCTCGTCATGAGCCGACCAGCGAGTGAACCAGCGCCTGGGTGCCAGCCTACTCTGGAGGCTGCCTCTCTGGGGATTGAGGAATCGTTGATGGATACCCGTTCTCCGACGATGGCTGCTCACTCGCCTCAGTTGTTGTTGGTGCAGGAGCTGTCGCAGCTCACGCCGCCTCAGGTGTGACAACTCGACGTCAAGGATGAGATCACGGTGGCCACGCGCAACCCAAGCGACACGACGCCCACACCACGTGAGGCTGCTCGGTGTCTCGCAAGGTTCACCGAGGAGGTGCAGTGCAAGAGACAGTCACCATTGATCGCGAGTCCTCCAAGGCAGAAGGCGGTAATAAAGTGCCCCTTGCCAATCAGGAGTAGGCAGATTGCCACTCAGTCGTTGTCGCACGTACCGACCTCTAAGCGGGGCGAGGTACTACTCATGAAGAGGATGGGCATCGCGCCGCCGCCGGCACCAGTTTCTTCCGCATCCAAGGGAGTATACGACGCCATTTTCGTAGGGAACTTGACGTCGAGCCAAGTTGAAGCCCTGGACGAGTTATTTCCAGCAACCAACAACAGGGCAGGTAGAAAGCTCTTCTCGGACGCCGAAGTCGGATCACGCAGCCAGTAGCGGAGGTGCCCAGCTTCGTAGGTTGCAGCGCTGCTCTTAGCTCGGTTGTAAACCTTTTATGTAATATCGAAGCTTAGAGTTGTTTGCTAGGACGATCCAACCTACGGCTGTAAGACCTCCGAGGGCGCTCGTCAGAAGCACGTCGTTTGTATGATTAAACTCTTCTTAATTACAATGATACGTAAATCTTTTGCGTATTCGAGAAAAAAGATACTGTATCCAGCCAATATAAGCCCCCTATTGCAACATCCAGACATGCTCTTCTTTATTACGATATGGGATGTAGTTTAGTGTTTTTGCTACATATTGTCTCAGTCATCAAAACAATTCTCACATTTAAAAAAAAGCAACATTCAGTTATCAAAAGCAACATTCATATTCGGTTCAAAAAAAATATAAGCTAGGTAGACAAGCTTGTTTCTTCAGCCCTATTCGCTTGTCTTATAATCCGTACTTTTCAGCTTGTTTTTTTCAGCCGGAACAGTGTTTTTCTCACAACAAATCAGCTGGAACAATGCCTCTCACAACAAGTCACTGTAGCTACATAGTTTAAACATGAATATAAAAGAATAAAAGCATTAGCCATGAGCACCATTAAATGCATATAGTAGGTCATTATTGAGAAACTTTCATATTATTATATGGTTAAAAGTAAAATCACTTACATTAGCGATTTTTCTGTATTGGTCAGCAGAGTGAATAATTGTGTTAATTCTTGATTTGGTGTAAGCTCAAACCTACTCCAAAAGTTTTGGAGATATGTTCCAACCAATCCATTGATCGAACATCATCTGCTGTTGGATCTACCAAATATTGATATAAGAAATGTTAGCAGGAAATTATCAAAAAAAAAATCTCAAGATATGTCTAAATGCATTGAACAATTCTGGTATTGGTAGCAATCAGATCAGTGGAAGAAATGTTCTCACTGATAAAGTAATAGACCTTGAGAATTGGAAAATGTCAAACTAAAAAACAAGTCATGAAACAATAGGAGTTCAGTTTTTTTTTTGAAACAATGGCAGGAGCTCTGCCTTTCAATTAAGACGAATGAAGTTTATATACAAGCAAAAGGTAGCCAAGCGTGGCGCCAAACACCACGAAAGGTTACCCACCCACGCATAGCAATGTAGTAGTACACACTACCATGAGTCATCGTTGCCGAGCATAGTTGCAAAGCAGCTAGCAGCTCCGACTTCCCATGGAAAAACACCGACAACCCATCATAAGATGTCGACCAACGGGCCCGAACCAAGAGATCGCAAGCGGTCATCGTTGCCGAGCTCAACGCATTACGAAGAGCAGCTCCGACTTCCTACCATGACCCCATCGCCCGCTGCGGCGATTGCAAAACCTCTAAAGTCGAAAAACCCGGCCGTTGGAGAAGGAGGGTTCGACACGCGTCATCGTTGCCGAGCTACATCCCGGATGCGCAAGCAGCTCGACTTCACGATGCGTAACTCATTGTCTCGCATCAACCGGGCGCCGAGAGGCGGAGGACATCCGCCAAGGAGACATCACGGCCGAGACGAATTTCCACAACGACGCCGGGAAGGGTACGACAACGTGAATGCATCGCCGTCGCTTGTCCAGAAAGGACCGGGTTTTCACCGTGGAAGACATGGTCAGCACAAGAACACGATGCCCCAACAAGGAAAAAACGACGCCCACCGCCGCCGCCGTCGCCAAGGCTTTTCGCCCAAGGTGCCCCTAGCACATACGTCGAGCCAAGATGATGGACCGTAGCTTCGCCATGCCGTCGTCGCCACGCCATCCCGCAGAAGCTTCTCGGAGGGGCATCGACGCGCCCATTTGCTCACAAAGAACCGCCACCGCAAGGCCACCACCACCCTCTGATCGGGCAACATGTAGAATTGGACTTACCCTGCCACGCACGTCACCCTCCGCCGCGACGCCGGTTGCCGCCTACCATCACACCGCACAAGCACAAGCACCCGCCGCTGACGCCGACCTCCGCCCGACCACCGTCGGTATGCCTTCCACGGGCGCCGCCCCGGCCGGGGGCACGGGATGTGGCTGTGGCGCCAGATCGATGTCCCAAAGGTGCCGCCGCCTCCACGCAAGGTCGAGGAGGAAAGGGGGAAGCGGAGGAGGAAAAAGGAGTCCCCGCCACCGCCCGGCGCTGCGACGGGCATCGCCGCCGCCATCAGTAGCCGCAAGCAGAGGTTGCCCCGCCAGAACCACGCGCGGCTCGCGAGGGCACGCCCGCCGCCGCCCTTCTGATGCACGCCGCCAACACTACCGAAGCGCGAGAAGAGGAAGAGGCCGCCCGAGCCAACGCAGCCGCCACCAGCGCGTTCCCCAAGGCGGCGCCCTCGAACCCGCGGATCCGGCGACAATGGCGCCATGGGCGAGGACCGCCCGCCGCCATCGACGCCCAGCCGCCGCCGAAGATCCATGCGGATCCGGTCCTTGACCGCGGGATCCGATTCTTAAGCCGAGGAGAGACCGCAAGACACCGGCTGCCCCCCAGCCTCGGCGACCTCGCCGAGCCCCAGAAGCCGCACGCGAGCTCGTCCTCGACCGTCGCAGCCTCCCACCACGAAGAAAAAGCTCGCCGCCGCCCCCGGCAAGCCCCTTGCAGCCATCTTGGGCGTGCCCGCTTCCGGCGACAGCCAAGCACTGGAGAGAGGGAGGGAAGGAAGAGAGGCACTAGGGTTTGGGTTCACCTCCCGTGTCGCCTATGTGGGGGCGACGCGGGGGCCAGGGTTAAAGGGCTCGGCTTGTTTGACAGTGACTATCTGAATTTCAGGAGACTTGTGATAAAGGAACATATCAAAGGAGCTAATTGTAATATAAGTACTACGTAAGGTCTCAAACCCAGGGGGTCTAATTTAACTCACAATGTTGAGGGAGTAGTGTGTTTTTAGTAATGAAAGAAATTCTACAGTTTGATCCAAAGAAAACGTACCTTTGCGTCCCCTTTTGGTTTTCTTCCTCTTGTGGCTTGGGAACTCCTTTAAGAAATCTGCCCATAGAAACACATGATACTCGCCTTCAGCCACTCTTTTGTATACAATTCTTCCAGGATTAACTTTAAGTGGACGTAAAGGAAAAGAAGTTGCAGCATTGGCATTTTCATACTGCCCATTTATGCAGTCGACAACATTAAGAATGTCACTGAAAAACCACAAGAACATGTATATTAATGATGATGACATGATGAGTTAAACACTAATAGTAAGAAAAGTGAATATAACTGAAAATAAATAAGTGTCAGGATCCAATGGATTTGACAAACTAATTTCCTAAGTAGAACGAACTGGAACACGAACTACTTCGGCTTTTTTTTCTCGAACAACGCAAGAGAGCTGCGTGCCATTTCATTAAGGTAGGAAAAAAACACAAGTACAAAGAGTAAGCATAAAGCCCAACCCGAACCCGAACACACACCCACAACCAACATCCCCCAACAGGAAAAAGACTCGTCACAAAAAAGTTCGAAGGCCTGACCAAAGACCACCCAAAAGCCTAAAATACTATGAAGATGGCGACCCAGCGAGGAGGCCTGGGCCTTGGAAGCACCAGCCCAGCACCATATGGTGCTCTCAACATCCAATGTCTGGAGAGCTTGAAGGTTTGGCTGCATAACTTCAAACACACATGAGTTGCGATGCTTCCAAATCTCCCAAGCCACTAGAATGATAAGGGAGTTTAGGCCTTTCCGCGCCTCCTTCGGTACCCCTCTGATCACACTCCACCAGCTAGAGAAACTTGTTCCTATGGTAGGTCCTACAGCAGCCAGATTCAGTTGCTGCAAAATGAAAAACTAAACCTGCTGAGAGAAAAGACAAGAGACTAGCAAATGCTGGATTGTTTCCTCAGCTTGATCACAGAATGGGCAGGCAGTCAGATGAGGCAATCCTTGCTTGGCTAGCCGGTCTGCAGTTCAACATCTGTTGTTGATAGCCAACCGCAAGAAGAATTTGCAGCAGAGGGGCCCAACTCTTTCAGATCCTCCTCCATGGGATGAACTTGATGGTTCCAACGAAGAATGTGGCGTAAGCGGATTTCCTGCTCTACCCAGGATTGGGTTACCTTCCAACGATGCTGACCAGGGACACTTGGCTGTAGAATTAAGCCATCCATCCACCGAGTCCCATACCAGCAGGTTCAACCAGTACCTGAACTGTTAGGGGCCCTTTGATATCACGTACCCAATTCCTAATTAAAAAAAACGTACCCAATTCCTATTTTGGAGTGTCTGGGCTACAGTCCGAGCTTTTTTTTTTACAACAATTACCGTCCGAGCTTTGAATGCCCTTCTTGGGATTGCCTTAAATAAATTGGGAGCTAATTCCGCAATGGTCCTCGCATTCAATCACCGATCCAACCAAAAATGAATGGATTCACCATTTCCCACAATTGTTTCCGTGGCCATACTAAAAAGTGCTTGGGCATTCTTTGGCACTTGAATTGGGAAACCAGCCCACGGCCTAGCAGGGTCTGTTTTTTCAGCCCAAAGCCAACGGTTCCAGGTTATGAATGGCTAAGCCAAACTAAGGATTTCCAGGTTATGAATGCCTAAGCCACCATACTCTAAAGGATGCTGAACTCTTGTCCAGGACACAAGACAGTTACCTCCATTTGCCTGTTCTTGACCTCTCCACAGGAAGCCTTTGCGTTTTTTTTTTCAATAGCCTTGATTGCCTACTTTGGAGGATCCAGAACAATCATATGACAAATGGGATAAGCTGACAACACCGCTCTAACCATTACCGGGCGCCCAGCTCTATTCATCAAGGAGGCTTTCCAACCTGGAAGGTAATCTTCAGAGACAGAAACACATCCTTAGTAGTTAGTTGGCTTGCGGATAGTGAGGGGAAGGCCAAGGTAGATGAAGGGAAAATCCTTGATTGCACAGGCCAAGACTTCTGAGGTATGCAGCTTATCCTCATCCGAGCAGTGAATAGGAGTTGCAGAGCTTTTTGTCAAATTAGTTTGAAGCCCAGAGGCATGCCCAAACAGGTCAAGTAGGAGCTTAATGACTTGGAGGTCACTCGACGAAGGCCTCAAAAAGTTCACTGCATCATCCGCATAGAAGGATACCCGGTGTCTTGCTTGCTGAATGCCAATTGGCTGCAACAATTGTTCTCTGGTTGCATAGTTGAGGAGTCATGAAAATACCGCCCCCTCGAGATCAGAACTGAAAAACCTTGCGGACGGAAGCGGAGTCCTCCCATGTGGCCTCAGATGCTTATGTGGGGCTCTACAACTTCTAAAGTGCTGCTAAATAGGGCACCAGGTGAACCTTCAACCATCGAAGAAGAGTGCTCTTGTGCAAAACAAGTTTGGAGAGGGATTTAAGGAAGCTATGGTTTAAGTCTACTCAATGCTAGCAAGAACTAGTTTCATTGCATCATTGGAGGGAGCTACTCACTGCAAGCAACTTCATTGGGCAATTTACTCAGTTTGGTATACTTGAAAGGAGATAAATAGGAGGTGGTTAGAGAATAGAGGAACCAATCTGGATAGAGTGCTCTTGCTTATAGGGACTTGTAGCGACTAGCACAGGCATAATTAGGTTAGCTAGCTATGCAATCTTTTATCTCTTTGTACATAATTAAGCCCTAGCATGATGTCTAAGGCTGGTAGTTTTTCTAAATTCTTTAATAAAAAGGCAAAGCACCTGCCATTGTTCCTAAAAGAAATTACTTTGTGTGCAACAAATATGCATAACAATAAATTACTTACCAAAACAGTCTAGAACCTTGAGGCAAGAAACCATAAGATTTGGCTTTAGAGCTGTTGCCCTCAACTAAAAATATTTCTTCCCTTGAAAGATCAACCAGAGCACCGTCAAAGGGCACAAATGCTATGAACGCTTTAACTTCCCCTTTTCTGAAATCACCCCCACGACATGCCCAAAGACCAATTGGGGAGAGTAGATTTGGATGCTTCAAGGTAATCAACAAATTGTAGATACGCACTGCTTCATCTACATCACCAAATGGCTCAGCAATACAGTACTGAATATTTTCTTTGCATTTCCCTGCAGCTCGATAAGAGTCTCCCATTGCAATTGTCTCATCATACACAATCAATTTATGCTCTTCCTGTCCAATGCATGTCTAAATAACAAAAGCATATGCACAGCATTAGTTTCTGAATAATTTACGTGGTTGTCTAATAAATTGACAAAAGAGAATAGCAATTACCATCACAGTTGGCTGAGACATTCTTGAAAACCTACTAATAAGCAAACAACTTGTTAGGAACTAAAAGCAATAGAAATCGTGTAAAACAGCAAATTGACTAATTTGGGCAGGTGCTAGTTAAACCACCAGGAGGGGATATGTACCCACCCACATCACGTGTCTACATCTGGCAGGAATGTACTAAAAAAAGTGTGGTGGTGCGGCTTGGAGTTCGGCTTTTCAGTGCATGTGGGTGGGACCACTGCTGCTCTCCCATTTTTCTATAGCAGATAAGGCTTTCGGCTACGCACCAGTTTTTGTGCGTGCAATACTAGCCCATGGGTCTCCTACACAGCTACTCCGCCATTTTTCTAACAAAAATGCTGAAACAACTAGTATTTGGGTTGACTGACATAGTGACAGACCCATTATTTGGGTCGATTAACATAGTGACATAGCCAGTTGCAATTTTTTTATTTTTAACCCTTTTTTATTAAAATCTTATTTAAAAATAACCCCATTCTGGACAGCGACTTTTGCACGATGAAAAGTATGGAGTACATGACCACGGCACCCTGCATTCCTGCACGAGCTGAGTTGGCAGCTACCAAGTCTGTGACTGTGTCAGTAGGCTCCTAGGCCGTAGCTATGGAGGTCATGGGGAGGGAGTTGGATAGCATGGTTTTGGCTACAGTACCTGTATTAGGAGGGAAAGTGAGTGATTGTGGCCAATAGAATTTTTCCTTCCCGTCAAAACTCTGAGCTGAGGCATGCAGCAGGTTTCATTGTGTAGCAGGCTAGCTTTTTATCGTGTTGAAACTGAGGACGTTGAAACAAGTTGATGCCTACCCAGGTTGCTGCCGTGTCGCCCCACTTTCAGGTCGCGCAAACAGACCTGACACCACGCATGCTCAGAGTCAGATGCGACATGGAGGGGTCTTTTGTCACAGACGCAGCAGAAGCAAGCTTTCATCCTGCCGTTAGAGCAGCCACGCGTCACTCATCCGCAAAGTGGGTAGCTACCAGACCCGGGTTGTTAGGCCCTATTTGGTTTCCATAAGTCAGGTGACTTATTAAGTCAGTGTTTAAAAATCGATGACTTATAAGTCATACGCATTTGGTTGTAAATGACTTATAAGCTCATTAAAGGTGTGAGCCCCACGAAAAGGGTGACTTATAAGTTTTAGCGGGGTGGTGAACCAACTTAAAACTTATAAGCGGGGGTGACTTATAAGTTGGTGGTGTTTAGCAAAATAAGTCACTTTTTTAACTTATAAGTAGGTGACTTATTTGGAACTAAACAGGCCCTTAGCTACCACCCCATTGTAAGAGGGACCTTGTGTTTATAGAAACAATACCAAACAAGATCTCCTCTCCCAGGGGCAGAGAGAAGGGGGCAGCAAGCTCTTTATATCTTCAATTTAGGCGCTTAGCACGTGTTCGAGATGAAGAAAAGAAAGAGTAAAAATGATTTATAGTTTTTTAAGCCAACATCAAGGTCAAGATTTTTTAAAACCAACATCAATGTTTGGCACTGGTAACCTAAATTTTTTGTCGACACTTGATGGACTTGCCCCCCCCACCCCTATCCTGAATCCTGGCTCTGTCCCTGCCGTCTCCTATCTCTAATCAATCTAGGAGGGTTGGCCAGCTGTGCTTAGGACTGCATAGCCCAGGCCTAAACCCGAGAACATATACGCATGTACATTGTCTAACATGCCCCCACAGTTCGATCATCGAATGAATGAACGTTCAAGCTAGAACTGAACTCCGTGAAGACCGTGGAAGGCAGCCCCTTGGTGAAAATGTTCTGTGAACTGTGAGGAGGTTGGAACATAAAAGACGCGGTCCTGCAGACATGACCGAGAACAATGCCCTCATGAACAAAATGGTGATCAATCTCCACATGCTTGGTGCGCTGATGTCGGCTGCTTCATGGAGAAGCATGGCATCCTCGATAGTGCACGGCAGATCTAGCGTGTGGGAGGCGACGTCGGCTTCAGCATCATCTTCAGGGTCCGGAGGTACAACGCTCACGGGTGACACAAGCCAGAGCATCCTGATCGCACGGGGCGGCGGCGCCCTGGTCCTGAACTGCAAGGGTGATCTCGTGATCGGCCTCATGCGTGCAGGCAAGCGTGAACTTGCGGGCCTACCTAGCCCTGCGAAAAGGGGCCTCCTTCGCCTCGCGGGCTGCAGCAAGATGCTGGAACACTTGTTCGTCGATGGAGGGAGAGCTAGGAGGTGTGCCGGGGATGGCTGAAGGTACGCGGGGGATTCCGGGTGCGAAGGGAAGCGATACCAGAGAAGGTCAAGGCGGCACGAGGGGCAGCTCATTCTAGGAGGGCTGGCCGGCTATGCTTGGGACTGCACAGCCCAGGACGAAACCCAATATATGCATATACATTGTCTAGCAGGAACCATACTTGGATATCCGAGGTAAACTCTAAAACGCGTCAATATATGAATATACATTGTCTAGCAGGAACCATACTTAGATATCAGAGGTAAACTCTAAAACGCATCAATATATGAATATACATTGTCTAGCAGGAACCATACTTGGATATCAAAGGTAAACTCTAAAACGCGTCGGCAACCTAGTTTATTCTACACTACAGTTCTACTTACACATCAGGGAAAAGGTTTTCTTCACCTTTGACCAATTACTTGAATTATAGCAGCAATGCAAACAAAATTGTTAAGATGCATACTGGACGTGCATCTGAAGAACAAATTTTCCTGTAAACAAACAACTAGCACTTGTTTTGCTACGTCAAAATTTAGATTTATTAGATTTATAACACGAAACAACTAGTCCATCTAAAGAGTCCAAGCATAGAAAATAACAACAGAAGATAAGAGAATGCTGAACAAACAATTACCTCTTCTGTTGCTCTGGACCTGAACCACCGCTGCCGTGCCCTTGAATGCCCTGCCGCGCCTAGAGCCTGTGCCCCCCGGTGGCCGAGCCTAAGCCCCACCGTGCCCCGAGCGTGCGCCCCGCGGGGCCCTGAGCGTGCGTCCGTGCCGGCCGAGCGCCTGCACCAAGCTTGGCCCAGGCGCCGCGACGCCGACTGCCGCCGAGCCGCCCACAGCCCGCCGACGAGCGCCCGGCCCCTTCCGCGCGCGAGAGCTCGGTGGCCTCCCGCCCGCCCGCGCGACCTCGACGGCCGCCCGCTCGCGCCCCTAGGGCCCGCCGCCCGCTGCCCGGTGACCCGACCCCGAGCCGCCCGGCAGTAGGGCGCAGGGCCGCTCGGCTCCCTTATGCGCGCCCTGCGGCCCGCGCGAGTATGCCCGTCCGGCCTGTTTCTGTGGATTGAACGAAGGCCTGCAGCACAGCAGCAGTGCGGCTGGCGGCGAAGTGGGCTGTTGCTCCTCGCTCATCTGTTCTGCTCGCTAGACGCTAGTTTTTTTTTTTATTATTATCTCTATATAGTTCATACCCACTAATAGGCAATAATAAATAAATTCTCCTAAATTTCAACTCTCATGCTGCCACGTCACACCTATTTGGCAACCGTTCAGTCTACCTCCGGCACCTGCCATCTCTTCATGTCCCTACCAACGCATACGCATGACATGGCCTTTTCATGCCTACAGTAATTGTCAAGGCAGCTGATCAGTCGGTGAAGGCAACCAAGAGATCACCCAACATGCCCTCGTAAAAGAGAGACAGATCAGTGGCCACCGCCCACCAGGGCTCGACTTCATCCTCACATCACGCCTTCTCATTGTGCGGATCATTATATTAGTGCTTCATGCTAAGTATGTGTTCCCAGTTTCCCCACTTTCTTTACATGTTCTATGTCCTGCTCGCACGGGTTTCTGCGGCACTGAGCACCTCCAGTAGGCCGGCGCCGCGGCCAACTGGAACACGTGCCCAACGGGCTAGTGATCAAGTCTCAAGTGGTTGCGAAGCTCCCAGCTGTAGTTGCTCAGATCAAGCACACCATCGGTAAAGCGTCTTCTTTTTCTCTTCCGTGCAAAAAGCAAGAAGGAATGACGCTATTCTACGATTTCAGTTTGGACACCTCTGAAGATCTGATCGAATCAATCACCTATCTATTGATTATTTATTGTATACATCTCCATGCCATGTGCTTACAACAATTCAATTAGCATCACATCTAACACCTTGATATAGATCGACGTTGTACTAGCACAGAGTCTCGACACTGTCATGTTCGTCGCGGCCACCACACCAAGGGCGTTGAGGTCGACGAGGCCGTCACAGCACGCTTGCGTGACAGCCGGCATGGTGCCGCTCAGTTTACTCTGCAACAACGGCGCGATTCCGACGCACGGCGCAGTCTCCGCTGGAATCGTGGTGGGGCGGGCGGTAGCAGCGGCGGGTGATGGACTAATGGTAGCCTGCTATCCAAACCGGCGCTGGTGTGGCCGTGTGGCAATTTGCCTCTTCGATCTAGCTATTTATACCCATTCTAATATATACACCCATATATCTTTCCCATCATACTCCTGTATGATTCTCCTAACAGATGCCATGCTACTTTATTCTTCTCTTTGCTTAGCCCGTCAAATGCTTCTACAAAATTGGTTTCCACATGTTTCCGCAGCAATGCGCAGTGAATTCAACTAGTTGAAAAAAATAATTCAGTATATTACTTACAAGCCACTTAAAAGTTGTCTCCTGTTCAACCACTGAGACGGATTTCTTTAGACCATATAGTGTCAATGCTGTTTATTTTGGGTGTAATAAAGGTAGCTAACGGCAAGATCAAATACTTATTTTACCTTTTGGCTCGTCATGCAAACCAATATTTTAATATTGCCATTCCCATTTCCAACCTAACAAAATTTACATTCAACTATTACCGGTATGTATATCACACGCACGCATTTTGCCATATGAAACTTTTTAATGGAGCAAGTACAAAATTGTTCAATTTTATACAAAGAAAAAAGAAAGGAAAATTTACAGCAACACACTAACAAGAATGGCCATGAACACATTTTAGAAATTCGAAATATATAAACAAAATCAAATTACACATTTCGTGCATCACCAGAAATGGACATAAACACATGTTAGAAATTCAAAATTACAGCAACAAACTAACAAGAATGCTTGTTCATTGGAGTAACAAAACTTCTTCACAAAGGAAAATATTAAATAACAATAAAAAAATTGCACCAAAATAGTTTTCATTGAACTGAAATTACACCATTTTCTTCCAAAGGGTTCTGTCCGCTCATATCCGTCAGCAATGCAACAGACAATGAGACAATCACGCACTTATGTGACGCTCAGTTGCTCACCATTCCGGTGCTAGCTGATGCCGGCCGGTCTTTGATATCGAGAACATACCGTCTCCTGCTCACTTTGTCCGTTCCTTCATTCAACTGAAAGATTCAAAACTTGCATGATACTTAAAACTAATCTTTTTCATCATCCACTAGGTTAAAAATGAAAAGAATGCAAACTAACAATAACCAATAAAATAGATCTATGGGTGCCGGGAGCCTTGAATTCCTCTATTATCTGTGCATCCATGGGTGAAAAAGAAGAAGTAAAGAGAGACGGAGAAGTAAAGAATCAAGATGATGAAGACAAGGAAGAGAGAAGTGGATGAGACCTGTTGACAACAAAAGGAGGTCAGAGAGGTCACATTTAAATTGGGAATCAAATACAAACAAGAAGAATAGAATTTGTGACAAATTGGGCAAAACCAGACGACTGGTCAGGACGGTTTTGGAACTGGCACAAGCCAGTTTTTGGCCTTAATACGCGTTGACTTGGGAAACCGACCCAGGCTGTTTTTGGCTAGTTGTGGCCGAAACCCTACGCAAACCCGCCCTAACTGATTTTAGAAAGTGGCCTGAGACGGTTTTGGCTCTCCGAGTCTAAAGCAATCCAAATTCTAGGCAAACTGCTTTTGATCTCATGGGAAACTTCCTGCCCCTTC